ATAGATCATGCCACCATCCATATCTGCCATCCCGTCTTTGGATGGAAAAAGCGATGGACCAGTGTTGAGAGTCTCGGGTCAAAGAGGCAGAAGAAGAAAGGAGGTTCCCAATGAGAACGTTGAAAAGTCTGGAAAAAAACAGTTCAGACCTTTGGAACGTTCAGACATGTTCAGACCTTTGGACCGTGGACGTTCCAAAACCAAGTCGCTCGTGGACGTTCCTTTTGGAACATCGGTGGGCGAGCGATTGGTCCCGGCGCCCTTGTTCTCTCCGCGACTTCGATTGAAATCGACCGGCGTTGAGCGAGAACCGCCTGTCCGGCTTCTTCCACACCCCAGGCCTCCGTTGCCCAAGACTTGCAGCATGAGTTGGAGGCGCCAGAGAAGAAGTGGTAGCAGGTAGCAGCAAATCCTGTGAGAGTGTGCAGAATCCGCTGTTTTCGGAGACAATGAGGGATGCTTCCCCATGACGCAGTCACAAGGTCCTCCCAAAGGATCCTCCCTCAGGGTCCTTCAAGACTCCTTCAAATTTCAAATGGTTGCGATCTCATTCTCGTAGCTCCTGTTGGCTCCAAGCACGAGATTTGCAGTCCAGAGTCCTTTCGCAGCGACCATGCTCCGTGCGGCTTGACCAAGATGGGAACACCAAGTGGAACAGCCAGTGAGACGCTTCCCATGACTGGCGCTACAGCTACAACATGCTACAACTACTTGCCTGAAGCAGATTTTCCAACACCAATTTTCATCCCCACTTCTAATTGATCTAAGACTAAGAATACCCTCGTGATCTAAGAATTCTGTAGCAGAACCCCCACATCCCCCACAATCTCAGCACTTTGCCCATGGAAGACTTGGAAGACTCAAAGTCAGTTTGGGAGGGCCAAGTGGCGGTGGGCACCAGAGGATCAATGGTTCATCCAGGCCGATTACAGTTTTGTAGATCCTTGCAGGCTGTATGTACAATGCAGACTTTACCTTATATGCTCCGGTTCAGGGCGACGGAGTAGGACCTTGGGTGCTCGCTCAATTAGGGAGACCTCCCAGGCGTCCCGACCCCAACACAGCCCACAGCAGCCGCACGGCAGCGGCAAACCAAAGCAGAACACAGGCACTCAGTCATTGAGAAGTAAGAACCCATATAGCTACCGCTCTTTGGCGAAACATATGCACACCTCAAATGAGTGTTCAGACTCGATGCCCGAAAACGTGGGACCCACCGGACCTCCATCGAGGTCGCTTTTGGCCTCTTGGTGTTGGGAGTGGCTCGCGCCTCCGTGCCACTTGGCGGAAGCCGAAGCGACGTGCGAACAGAACCCTCGACTCAAGAAACTTCATCCCATCAGGGTTTGAGATGCTGCAGGATCGTTGAGGATCCATCGCGGGACCCGGGTGCACGCATAGTTCGCCGCTAGCTCTCCGGAACTGGCATCCTCCCCCCCAAGCTGGCTATCACAAGGACCCGGCTTTTCCGGGTGAAAACTCTCCAAACCCGATGGATCTGGTCGCCGGACCTGATCCGTCGCTGGCCGGCGCCCGTGACATCGATCACCTCCAGGTGCCCTGGGGCGCCGATCACCGTGACCGCTGTGGCTGATGAGTTCCCCGACTGTTTTGGGACACTTGGCATGCGGTTGTTTTGGGGGCCGTGGATAGACTGGTGGGTGACAGGCCCCATTTGAGCTACAAGCAGGGTACAGGCTTCACACACTACTCTCTTGTGTTCTACTTCACCATGGTGAACGAATTTGCGGCAAGTCCATCCAACGGTTCGGAATGGTTCGGACGATTCACTCGGTTCGGACGTGACTCAGCGTGACCGTAGCTCCCTGTGACATTCTTCAAACGCAGTTGGAACAGGAGAGCACAGAACTTGATGTGTGAAAAGAAGCAATTTGGTAGCTGTGTTTGAGTGGGGCCGTGTTGAGACGGCAATATATGGAGATGCCAGTGGAGAAGCCTTGTAAAGGGCCTTGTAGAAAAAAGGATGGCGGGTTAGGTTTGTTCCCACAAGGATGTCCTGATCTTTGTCCTCCTTTGTTCTATTTCTATGACCGTACGTTCAGGGTGTTTTCCTTGCTAGGTTACAAGTTGCACAGAGATCGCGGCACTCCATCCAACCCAAGCCCAGAAGCACTTGCAAGCCCGCGACTGGTGTTGAACTTGCTTGCCAAGTTTCGATGGCATGTTTCTGCAATGGCACAGTTTCTGCATCATGTACAAGAAACCAATTGCGAGCCCAATGTATATAGTATGGGTGATTGGAAGAACTGGACATGTCACTGGTGGCCTCGCTGGTTTGTCCAAGGCAGTTGTCTCCGGGTTATATTGACTCATATTGACTCGTAAATAGTTTTCGAGCGGGCTTTTGGCGGCTATGTGTAGACAGGGGCGGCTCAGCATGCTACACACTACACCTCCAAGGAGGCCAAAAGTTCGATGTTTGGTTGACCCATGTTGACGCCTTCGTCGGAGCTTGGAGACACCTGGCAACCGCCCTGCTCTCGTGAGGAACTGCACAGAGATGTGCACCTCCATGGGTGATGTGATTTCCGCTCCTCGGGTGCACTCAGTGCCACGGCGGGAGTCGAACCGGTTCGGGTTCGGTTCGGAGAGAGAGGAAGAGCTTACCGTAGAGGAAGTCCACCCCACCCAAAAAAATGCCTCCGAACGCCTTGCTTCACCAAAAATGGCAAGAATCGCAGTTTACCACAGCAATCAACTCAACATGACTCGAACAATAAAATGAAGTGATCCATCTACACCGGGACAAGCACCATGTCTTTGTTTCTTCGCACCTGGCTTCGTTCAGGCTGCACGGTGGGCGGTCTCAGGGTCGGACCGATGCCCACACCGACGCCCGGTCGCCGTCAGGTGTGGCTCAACACCGGCGACGTGAATGCGACCGCCCGAATCGTTTGCAGGGACATCACGGCCGGGGTGCTGGGCGGTGTCGGGGCGGAGGTCGGACGGTCAGCGATGGGGAGCACGGACGGCACGAAGTAGATGGTGAAAGGAGATGCTTGGCTTCCTGGAATTGGAGCCGTTCGTATGAAAACTGTTCAAGCCTTTGGAGGATTGGCTTAGGAGGAGAGGTTTAAGTGGACAGTGCTGGACAAGAATAGTACTAGGGACCAGTTTGGAGGCTTGTGAGAGGCATCCCTGATACCGTCATTCTGGCCCTTGGCACAAAAGTGCCCAATGTCAAAAATGCCCATTTGGAGCCCAGTGGACAAGCTGCACAACCTTTCTGGCAGCTTCCTCACTCACACCCAACAGGTGGGCAAAGGATGAAAAAGATTAACCAGCATGCCCCACTGAAACTGAGGGGTTTCAGATTCGGATGCCTCCTTCAAATCCAAATCGCAATCGCTCAGAATCTTGGGCCCGGTCAGGTTTTCCAAGCGACCCCTGAGCAATTTCAAGGCCTCATGATTCGTTTTTAGCGACATCTACCTACGAGAAAGCCGAGAAAATGAGAAAACAATGGTGCACTATATGAACAAATCTTGGTTTGAACATGGTTTTCGCGTTTTCACCGGTGCTCCCGACAGAAGCTATAAATGATGGGGTTGTGTTTTTCGAATACATTTGTTGGCTAGCCAACCACGTTCATGAAAAAACAGCTTGTGAGCACACCCGCATGAGCTTGACATTGATAGTCAAGATGAACGGTACTGGTTGAAAGGCCAGTCTCAACACCTGCACCACGGGCGTCAGTCTCAACACCTGCACCATGCCAGCCTCGAAGTTGCACCACCGACACTCACCCAACAGGCCTTCAATGGCCTTCTATAGCTTAATGCCCCTGTGAAAGTTGGATCGGATATACCAGAAACCAACGCACTGGTGAATGCCGAAATTATCCTGCAAGAATTGCTGCCTCTGGCAATCCGTCAAAAGTGCCACCAGACCTTGGGCATTCATAGAAGCACATTGTGCCCCTCTTATTGTCCTGCGTTGCCGGGGTTTTCGCCGCTTTCGCGTGTTCACGGTTTTCGCGTGTTCCTCGTTTTCTGGGTTTTCAAGTTTTCGCGTGTTCGCGTTGTTGCCGACGATCGCAGATCTCGTTGTTTTCGCGGTGTTTGCACTAGATTTCCCGGATTTCCCGCACATCCGCTTAAGCAGACCATGCGGATGACCATTGCACTGTATTATGCTGGAGCCCACTTCAACCGCACGAAGCTATGTATCAAAAACTGGTCGCAATTTTCTAGAGATGGTCAGTTTTCTTCGACCAACCACGAGCAATCTAAGAGACTCACTTCAAGCTTCAAGCTTCACCAACTTGGCTGATTCACTGTTGCAGTTGCAGTTCTGACATGTTCTGAATGGGAGCAATATCAATGCGGCATCACCGCCCCTTGACGTCGGGAATGTGGAGATGGAGATGTAACAACAATTAAAAACATATAAAAACCATTCTGGATGGGTTGTATTGATCAACCGTCGAAATTCACCATCTTTTCTGCCTGTCCGAGTCGTGGCAGTATATACTGTAGTTAGTCTTTGTCCCCAGGATTCATGACACATGTTTCAGGTTTGCATCGAATCGATCATATTTTAGGCCGCATGTGGACTGCAAAAGGCAAACGCTGACATACCCCAGATGATTTTCCAATGTTTACCATGTTTTCCCCTACCAGGTGGGCGAAACATGGCTTGGACTGTGGATAAGATGGTAGCACCGATGAACTAAAGACCCATCATGACAAATCTGCCAAATCCATCCCAACCCCCATTCTCTGGCAGCTTGAGTTTGATCGACATGGGCTAAGTCGGATCCGCCTTGTTACATTGGCATGGGCATGGGAGAAGGAAAGTGAATCTACTACAGTAGCTTCAATTCTCAGCAAGTGGGGTAGCGGACCGGACCCACGTGATACAACGAAGGGTCCATAGCATTTCTATATATTCTATAACAATATTACATATAATATATAATCTCTGTGTGTGTTTGTGTGCATGAATTGCATAAAAATTACGTGTGCATGTTTCTCCGCAGCATTCATGCACAAAAGAGACAAAGAGGGCCCGGATTTGGCTTCGAAACGGCCAAATGTTCCTTCTTCGACCCATCTCTAGGACTCGCGCCATGGCACGTCAGATGTCCGTGCTGAAGGGCAGCTTTCCACAGAGCGGAGTAGCGGACTCCAGCAAGCCCAGCGTGTCGAAGGTCATGAAGGAAATGTTGCAGAATCAGACTCCCATGGGCAGCTCAAGTCCCACCAAGCGCGTGATCGAATCAGACTCGCGAAGGATGCCTGAGCACCTGCCCAAGTCCTACTTGCCCAAGGCCTCTTCTGGTCCAGTGCCTGCAGCAGACCTCAACCGGCAAGGCGCCGCCTTCCGCGGTTTAGGCATGGCCCGGGAGGAGAGAGGAGCTGTGGCGGAGAGGGTTTGGAGGCCACCTGGATGGAAGAAAGGTCAGGAGGTGGAGAATGGACCTGAGGTGGAGATGAGACCGAAAGTAGAGGTTTGGGGCATGCGAGCTGTGATCTTTCTGGTGTTCGCTGCCCTCTACATCGAGTTCAAAGATGCGTCCATCAGCCCGACCGGCCACATCACGCGAAAACCCCGGCCGCAAAGGCACTTGACCCCACAGGAAGAAGAGGAGGAGAGGGAGAGGCAATTGAAAGCTCAAAAAAAGTAGCCCTGGCAAGAGCCTGTCGCCCTGCTGTTTGGCCAGGCTCATTTGCCAAAGACCTGGGAACAAAACCAAGGACTTTGGTAACTGCACCCTCTCAGGAGTAGATTGGAAAGAGATTGTTCCGATTGTTCCTGTCAACGATTCCCAGATCAGCAGATTTGTACAGAGATCCGACGTCCTTTGGACCAAAGCCGCCGTTAAAGACCAGCCCATTTGTCAAAATCTGGTACTGCTTGGAGTGGTTTTAATCTGGTGACGAGGTCGAAGCACCCGGTCTGTTTGTTTCAATCATTTCGCAAACTCACCTGCCAGGCAACGGACAGGTGCAATATCGGAGAATGTTGTTCTCTGGGTTCATTATAGAGGCTTTGGATTTTTCTCGGCCAGGTCGCCGGTCTTTTTCACCTTAGGTGGTTTTTTTGAAGTTTCAGTCTCAATGCCAGAACAGCTGTATGAGTCCTTTGTTCATGAAAGACACCCATGAAGACACCTGCCGGCTGTAGCCCTCCGCTTGCACCTTTCTAGCCGGTGGCCACATTTCTATCTCCCTCTCCCAGATTTAAACCCTTTCAAGATACACATGTTTGATGTCGAAATCCTGAATGGATGTTTGTATGTATGGCCGCACGCCCATTTCAAGTTCTGTTGGGGCCAGCTCTTCTGAGTCTGACAGAGCGCCATAACGCCTCGAACAGCTGGCAAACCAGCTGATAAACAGCCCAAATACATGGGCTCAACTTCGCACCCACGGGCTGATTAGGCCAATTGGAGAAACCTTCAGCAAGCCTCCTCAACAAAGCCAAGAGACGCCACCTTTAATTTAAGTCTTCCAGCTGGTGGAGTGACTTCACATAGAGATTCAAAAATGAGTGGTGATATGCGACGATTCTTTCGGAGCCACTTGATCGAAAAGGATCGAAAAGGAACATATTTTAATATACAGCCGAGACAAGACCATTGTAAGACCTGCTGCAAGAGGGAATATATGTATATGTATATAGTATTTCATAGTATTTCCATTGTTTTCTTTGAACCATCCAGCTGTGGGTGTTACTGAAAATGCTCGAAAATCCACTCTTGTTTGGCATCCCGAAACCTGTCAACAGGGTGATCCGGATCAGGACTAGCCCTCGCGTGTATTTCGTGCGCAGACGTGGAATTGCGTCATCCTCGGGGACGCAGCCCGAGCCTCCTGCGATGGCTTGCTGGTTGGGGCCGAGCAAACGGTGACGGGTCTTTCGTGCCTGGGAAGTCGGTTTCAACCGGAAGCCGGTTTCGCGCGGGCGGGGTCGTGCTAGTCTTGGGGTCGTCCAAGGGATGGCATGCGTAGTTTGGTCCCTGGACAGGGGGGCGGACATGGCGTAGTAGTGGGACCCTGGAAGGGTGAACGTGATCTAGGCTCTTGATTGTCAACCCCCCCATGTAAAGAGATTTGTCAATTCAAACGGGACGGTTTTGTGATCAAGAGTCTACATTAGACAGGGCCACACCCGTCCGGCGGCATGAGCTGATGTCAGTTGTAGAGGGCCGGAACCACAGTCTTTCTGGGAAAGTGTCAAGCAGGAAGCGGATCATGCAATTTTTTTGCTCAGGGGGCGCTTTGAGACTATCAAACTTACTGATTGAGAAGCGGCTGGCCTGCGCTTTGTTCAGAAGCTTCACCCGCTTGAAAGACCTCGCCCTTTTTTATTATCTTGATCCAAGCAAGCTGCCTAACAAGACCCGCAGTATGGCTGGAGGTCTTGTTCTGACGGATGTGCATTATGGGAGCTACATTTGGGTCAGAGGTAGGGCTGCTTTCACCATGTATATCCGTATCTCTATAAAGCGTTCGACTGGGGCCCAGTCATGAGCCCAGCGGACAGAGGACCTGCTGGCCAAGCAATCACGACGATCTTCGGGGCCTCAGGATTCCGCGAACTGCCGATGGCACTGCGGCCTATTGAGCCTTGGCCTTTCAACGATGACCGAAGGGATCTACCTGAGCATGAAAGATGCTCGCAGTTTTCCAGCTAGGGTGGAAAGAAGACCTGGGCGAGGTGGTTCTTAATCCCCAGGCACTGTTGGCATGGATCGTCTGGTACGTGAGCTTCGAATCAAGGACCCCACCAGCCTTTTGGGACAAAGTTACGAGGCTTTGTAGTGCTATCTAAGGCTCTTAGGTTGTAAGATGTTGCAAGGTGGTTCATGGACAAAAGGTGTTGACATCATTAAATCCAGATTGCTTGGCGAAGCGTCATGTCGCCTTGTTCCATGTTGTTCTTTGGCGAAGGCCCCCGACGCGCTCAAGGGATGCTACCAGCATGGCTAGAGTTTCTGTTGCTTAGGTCGTGCGGTGCCTGATTTTGAACCACGAACCAATGAATCACCCGAATAAGGGAAGAATCCACATGAAACTACCCCCGCAACTCCAGGATGCTCAAAGATATCCAAGAGTTCATGATGGTTCATGGATCAAGACTCCGACCTTGAGGTCGTCAACAAGAACTGGAGGATGATCTCTCCTTGACCTCAAAGAGAAGAGACACGCAATTCATACTCTGACTCACTAATTTAGAACTGGAAAACGCCACTATTAAGGGAAAAAAGCAGTCTTAGCATGGTCCATGTTCCACTTCGATGGTGCTTCTTCTGCGAAAAAAGATGCAGATAGATCCCCCTGTGTCCGCCGGGTCCCGCTGCCGGGCCCGCACGGATTCCTTTCGGGAGGTCTACATGGTTCGGGGTGTCCCAAGACCTGTAACAGTCGGTAAGCAATGATCTATTTTAGAGAAAGGCCTTTACCAACTAACTAACCATCATCCACTGCGCCCAGGGATTGGGACATACATGGGCATACCCTATATAAAATATATGCAATTATACATATATAGGAGGGGGGAGTCTACCATTGATTTTGGGTGATAAACCCTCCAAACCGTCATGATTCATAGGTCGCGTCCGAAGCATAAACGAACGTCGAAACCTCGGTCTCAGACGGTTTTTTCGGCCAGGCGCAGAGCTGGGAACCGCTGCACCCAGTACCACTGCCGTCGGTGGGCAAACCGCGGATCGGGGAAGATGGGAGGAAATTGGAGGAATGAGAAATCAAAAGAAGTTATAGATAGCTATAGGTTTTAGATTGGTTTTAGGGTCGTTTTTATAAGTGTTCTTTTAGTTTGCCATCCGCAGAACTGCTGGACATCGTGATTTCTGGTGGAAATGGTGCCCCTCAATGCATTTGGTAGGTTTGGTCGTGGTCTTGGGTTTTTGTTTTTCGCCTCCGGTACATGCTATGGCTGGCTGTAACTCAAAATCATGGTAGCTTGACATCCCTTGTACAGTGGATTGAGGGTAGATGCCACAAACCCCAAGATGTCTTTTAGGTAGGGGTCCATATAAACAACCTTTTGGGGATTGTGCCATCTACTCTCAACCCACATATGGAGAGCAAGGAATTAGTTCGACGGATCCGCCTTTGATCCGCCAACTGCAGAGCTTGGACGGCCTCGCCACCATCCATGAGAGTCGGAGGATCCTTTGGAACTGGTCCGTTTTCGAGAGAAGTGGATCACGGTGGATCAAGAATGCCATTGACAAGCCGTTTTGAGAGGCAGAACTAGTATCCCTTTGGGAGATGTTGTGACCCTCTAGTCTTTGACATCACATGCTCAATCTCGGACTAAGGCCTTTGTGTGGGGAGATCATTCGTTTGAACACACGTGGCCATGCGTCTCCGTGGTCGTTTAGCTTGGTTTTTTGTTGGTTCATTGATTTGTTTGAATGTGTTTGTTCGGGGGAAACATGGTCAAGCCAGTTCCTCATGGAGAAGTGCATGCTTCATCATGGAACACCTGCCTCTCGTTCATCCACATGGTGCATGGAAACCATGAAGTTCCTCCCTTGACATGCATGGCTCAGCTGGGAATCATGCAGCCATGGTTTCCTCCCCTTTTCTCTGGAAGCCGACTCTTCCGAACCCTCGCCCACCCCCCATCAGGTGCGGCCTCAGCGCTGCCACTGATGGGCTCAGTGACGGCGAGTGGGAGGGGGTGAGAGGTGCCCAGTCTATCCACCTCTTCAGGTCTCGAATCCACCTCTTCAGGTCTCGAAAGCATCTCAGGAATAGACTTAAGATGACTTAAGTCTTAGGGCCAGGGGATTCATGAGGATTCCCTTTTTTGTGGTCCCCCAATAGATAGAACCAGTTTCCAAGACATTCTTAGTGAGCATTTACTTTTCTATTGGCGGATTCTGAACTTTGCTTTGGGTGATAAGCCCTCCAAACCGTCATGGTTCTCTGGAACTGGAAGGCGATGTGACACCCCTCACCTTCTCACCACGTTGCTTGGAGAGAAGGTCGAATCAACACCAGTACTCTACGACAAAGGGGGCCTTAGTGGAGGTTCTTATCCAATATACCCCAGCTTCTATTGATGCTCCCTAAGCCCGCCCAACTGATGGCACTAATGGCAGAAGGGATGAGGAGGAAAAACCATGCGTAGACAGCTCCTTTGGGTGGAGTGCCATTAGACAGAACCTTCTGAACTTCTTGAAGTCAAGACTAGAGAACCAACAGGAATACCCCTTTGTCACCTCCCAGTGTGTTGCGAGTGCTGCTTCGCATCCGTGTCGTTGGCGCAAACCCCCGCAAGTTCCTGCCGCTACTCATTGGCGATCCAGTCGAGCCCTGCCGCGGGGCCGCGTTACGCTTGGGGCATGGAGTACACTCGAAGAAAGCGCCGGGACGCCGTGAGACACACCTGGTGCCTTCTGCTTTCGGAAAGGAGGGCATTTACGGCGTGACCATGGACGTAGACGGGGCCGGTCCGATCGTCCGTCCGATGGTCCGATGGTCAAACAGTCGTCCTTCTACATTCAGTCAACGAGTTTTGAGCCTGGCACTCCAAGTCATCGCAGTGGCACCAGAAAACGATCGAAGACTCTCTCCCCTGTCACTACCGCTGCCCAAACCTTGGTGGAGCATTCCGTCACCGGGTCACCACCTGGTCGTTGGACCACACACCTGGTCGTTCCCGTTCGTTCGGAGCGACGTCCAGGTGACAGGCCAACCAACCAGATCCGGATTGCGATTGGCAAGTGTCCAGGGTTGTAGGGGAGCAGAGAACTTGCAGTGCTTCCAGTCTGGAGAAAAACACTGAAGGGCACCAGGGCAGGTTCCTTTTTGTTCTGCTCATAGTGCTGAAAGACCATCTCCGCGTTTTGGCACCTCAGCCCGGGCCCCAAGGAGTCCAAAGGACTAAGAGGAGGCCCCCTCCACAGCTCGAGCTGCCAGGCATGGATCTTGGGAGCTGGCACTTGGCTGCTGCAGCTCTGAGTTCGACCAAGGGGACCGCCCATGGCTGAGCAAGGCTTTTTTCCTTCCGGGCCAGCAGGCCAAGCCCACAGAGACGGGAAATATATGGAAAATATATGTTATATTATATGTGCAGGTAGCAACCACAAAAGCAGGCGGTCAGCCGGCGTCACTATTGCTCTAGTCAAAGATCTGGGGCCACCTAAGTCGAAAGACACCTAAAGGAAATCGGCAGGCTCTCGGCGTGCACGAAACAGGTGGCCGCTCGGCTCACGACCCTTTTGATCCCAAACTGCACGGTGATGGTGAATGAGCTATCTACTTAGGATGCGAAGAAACTTGCATCCCCGGGTCATCCCTTGCTTCCGCAATGTTCGAGAACATCCAAACCTTGTTTCTTTCGGTTGCGCGCGGATTGCATTTGGGGATCTTGCACGATGCGCCAGCGTTGGCCTAACTGGTAGAAGCGATCAAGCTCTTGTCCTTCTCCTTCTTTGTCAGGGAGTTTGCAAGTTGCGCGTGTGAGTGCACCCATCGGATCACAAGCTCGGTCTCTTCCAGGGCTTCTTTTAAGCCTATCAGTTCCAAGGCTGTGCGCTGTTCTGGTCCCTTTGGAACATAGACAGTTGACTTCATGCGATCGAAAACATTTGTTGAATCGGTCACCAGTACGGCGGGCACTTGCTTTACAAAGCTCGCGGCCTGTCTGACTCGAATCTGAGTGCCCAACATTTCAGAAAGCTGGAGTCTCACTGCAAACAACTGGTCTTCTCCATTTATGGTTGCTAAGCACTCGGCAGCTCCTGGAGAGCGGCACTGTCGGGTGATCTTGGTGGAATTCCAAGCCACTGGACTGATTTCGCATAAGTCCCCTGCCAACAGACGCTTCGAGGTAATTCCTATGAGGATACCTTGTGTGCTCTTGCCGTCAACCCTGTTCTGTACAGAGGCATCCGCCCAACATGCTACCAACAAGTCTTGCGGGTCATGGACATGTATCAACATCTTGTGTTTCTTGTCGCATTTGGTTTTGTATATGAGTTTGTTCGTCTCAAGTAGGGTGGAGACTGTGCTGGTAGTCACTCTGGATAACAAGAGGCTCACTGCAGCTCCAATCTGTGGACTGGTTTGCTGGGCACACCAGCTCAAAGCTCCCAGCGCGGCTCGCAGCTGCGTCTTCTCGCGATCATTGGTGAGGGAGCTAGGTTCACGGCGGCGTTCGGAGCATATAGAGATCTCCTTCAGGTCTTCAAGGTATTGTGATTGATTCATTTCATAACCCCCTTCCGGTCTTTTCTTGATTTGGACTCCACACTGAGTGAAATTGTCCCATTCCCAAGTTCCCCAATCAAACTTCTTTCTAATTTGGTCACACAAGTTGGTCCATGTCTGGTCACTTTCACGCCCGCAAAAAAGAAAGTCGTCAACATGTCCACTTATGAGTCCTACCAGCCTGCCATCTTGTGACACATTCTTGAAGCAACAGGGGTCGGTAACACAACGCGAAAACCCAATTGAGATTAAGAAGTCCGACACCGTCAAGTACCATTCCAGTGGTGCGTCAACCAAGCCATAACATGCCTTCTTCAGGCGCGTGGTGGCGCCTGGACTGAGTCCCATGCCGATGCATATTTCATCGGTGGGTATCACATAAGATTCACCTTGGTACTCCCGGCCTTGTAAAAAGGCACCCGAGACATCTCCCTTGGCCACTCGAAAGCCCAGCGCTGATGATATCACCAGCAACAACTGACGGGTGGTCCTGGACATGGTTGGTGCGGCAGTTTGCCGCTCGGCATACTTAGGGTCCATGTATCCTAAGATAACACATCTAGCTTTCGCCTTTTTGTTTCCTTGGTCATCGCGTTTCCAAACCAAAATCCATCTCATCCTCATGACCTTTGATGGATGTGGCCAGAGATGTGGCGGAAGTGCCTCCAGGGCCTGTGCTCCTATGTATTTCTTTACCTCTTCTTGTTTGGCGTTTGTCATGAGAATTCTCTCTTCATCCGTCAAGTGTTTTTCGTTTACCTCCACCGATCGACGTCGAAGGTTTGACACCAAGAAGCTTTCAAAGGAGTTTGTCATATATTGTTTTCCGCGGTTTGTCTCTGGTGTTTCGAAAACGATTTCGACAGCAGCCTCGGACTGCGCCCAAAACACTTCAGCACTCATGGCATGTTCAGTGAGTGGTGTAGTGTCCATGTCGACTACCAAACCCTGTTCATGAACAAACAACATGTCATCATCTTCATCCACACTAGGTCTAGTAGGTGGGGGACATTCTGGAACATATGCCTTATGTCGTATTCGTTTGTAAGGTCTGATCGTTTCCTCATCCACCGCACGTTCGAACTCCGGAAGTTCTGGTACATCACCTGTGACATCTTCATAGTAGTGTTTCGAAAGGTCCTCGGTCAACTTCGTGAAGGTCCACGGAAGATCTGGTGGATTGGTCAACAATTCAAGAGCTTCTTCACGAACTGAGGCTCGTCGTAGCTGTTGTGGACACGCTTTGATCAATCTTGAACCTCTGGTCAGCCACACCACAGAACCTGGTCGATATGTGTTGTCCTCATTCAGCTTGGTTTCCAGGGCCAACACTCGAGCTGGTCCAGTGAAACCTCCAGTCCTGGCTGAACTAGCTGGCCCCCTGGTTTGGATTCTCCACACGTATACTAAGTCGCCGGGTTGGTATTGTTCCAGTTTGTAGCTACGTGTGTTTGCGGCTCTTCGGAGCCGTTCGTCCGCGATCCATTCGGTCATGGCATGTTCTGCGGTGGTCATGCGGTGTATGTTTCTTTGAAACTCACCCTCACTATTTTCACACAAACCTGGGGGAATTTCTTTCATTCCACTGGGATGAAACCGACCGGCGGAATCGGGCGAACGACCGAGCGCGTGCTGTGCAGGACTGTAGCCCCGGACAATTTCTCTTTCATTCTCGGTCCTTAGGGCTTCAGCCAATGCTTCCTGTGCTGTGATCTCAGGATCTTCCATGGCCAGTTTGGTCATGATGTGTTTGGTGCATTTGATGGCCCGCTCGACATGGCTAATCTGCCAGTGGGCTTCGGCCGGAATTGTGTCCAGTTCTATGTTCTGTGAAGACATGTAGTCAGCCACTTGTCCTGATCTCCAGGCTCCAGCCGGGTCAACACGCAGTCTGTCTGGAAGTCCAAAAACAGGTTTCCACAGTTCCTGAAACACGTTTATGAGGTCCTGTCCGTTGATCCCCTTTCCCCGACCGGTTTCCACCACCCGACCTACTCGAAACCGACATCCCTCATCAATCATGAGTGTGAATTGGTATTTCTTTCCATCGGTAGGGTGATTCCAAAAAGCATTGTCCGCCTGAACAACCTTCCATTTTGGGGGAAGGGGTTCCAAGGAAACCTGAGGTCGGGGCACCATACGTTTGGCTTCCTGACATGTTGGACACTGATAGCTGCGAGCCAACTCCAAGAGTCTAGGATCCGAACCTCGAGCCTGAAGTGCTTTGACTAAGTGCTCAACCGGACTGTGTCCCGAGTTCCTGTGAAGTCCGGCGATCTGTCGAAGGTATCTGTTTCGTTCTTCGGTGTTCAAGGGTGCGAGGCCTGTCATGGGGTCATCTTCAGCTGCCATGCTAAAGGGGTGTTGTGATTCCTCTAACATCTCACAATGATTACAGGACAAGGAGCTCTTTGGATGGGTGATGGTATCACAAGTGCAACAAACCGGTCTTCCACTGCGACTGCTGGGAATATCGATCTGTCCTCGAAGTTCCGTCACCAGGTTGTCCCTTTCAGTGTCACGCCAGATGGTGCGGCACACTCGTTTAGCAAAATCATTTGTGTAATATGCACTTTCCCTCGCGAGTTTCCCTTCACACCAAGCATGCTTAACCCCACACAGACAAGGGAGTTCCATACTCTGCAACAGCCCCTCATGAGTAGACGCTATCTTCCAACCTTTTCCCATCAAATCACCCTTGGGGGACACTCTCAATCCGACACGACAACCCTTGACCACACAAGTCTTCAATTGATACCGATTCATCATGTTTTGAACCATTGGTAACCGCCAAGCATCACATGTCTCCGACCATTCCCAAGAAACGGACACCCCATGCTGAATACAATGAGTCATGATCAACAAACCTCCAACGTATTGCCTAATGCAGTTGTCTCGTTTTTGTTTCAAGTTCTCCATTTGTTCCGGAGAGCGTTGATTCACTCGCTGCATCCTAGAAAAAGGTCCGCATTCAGTGCTAATCCAAACATGGAGAGGTCTGTCCTTTTTGATCTTGTTGATTGCCTTGCGCACTCCCGTACTGGTGGCAAGGTCATAACCGTTCCAAAAAGAAAGACGTTCAGCTGCGCTTTCCCTACCGGTCATTTTCCTCATGGTATCCGTCAGGAGTGAGTCCGGTCCACATGCTACCTCAAAAAGCAAGGGCCGTTCATATCGGATGAGTTCCCCAAATGCAGCGGGGAGCTCCTCCATGGCCTGAAGGCTCAGTAGCTTGGTTTCTCGCTCACTGAGCACCACCTGAGGTGCAGGCAAGAGAGTTTCCAAGCCTTCGGAGAAAAACTGTTTGGAACCGTCTACTGATCCACTGGCATCTGGGAGGTTTTCTCCCAGTCGCTTGAGGTGGCGGCCGAGGGTTGCTTCCGGCGCGTCTCCCGATCCTCCTTCATGTCGGCCACCTCCTTGGTGAGCGCCTTCAAGGCTAAAGCCATTTCCATCATCTCTGAGGATGAATTGGACTTCTCTGCGTCCTTCTTCTTGACTGGGTAGCCCTTCTTCGGGTTCTTGGAATGCTCTGCTGTGGCTTCCGTCACTTGCTCCAGCTCCGTCATCTCCTCCAGCCACTTGGCCAAGCGATGAAGCTTCATGCTGCTCTCTGGGTCCTCCTTGGAGGTCTGCATCACCCAGCGAGCATAGCTGGGCTGTTCCATCCAGATCTCCTCGTACTTCTTGTCGCAATGCTTGCCGAACCCGACGAAGTCCGTGGGATGAGGAGCTGCCATCACATAGGCCTGGTTCAGGCCCTTCACCTTGAGCTGAGCAATGGTCTCGGTGCCCGTCAGGGTCATGCCCATGTTGACCGTCAGGTACTCCTGGAGGTTTGCCTTCCGAGCTGAAGCCTTGTTGATGGCCACTTCGAGAGTCCTCAATGGGCTGAGTTCCTTGCTCTTTGGCTCCAAGATCACCTCTCCCTCGAGCTCGCTGAGCCGATGAAGCAATTGTGCCCGAGTCCACTTGGTTGGAGCCACTTCCCCATGGTACTTCTGGAGACGCTCGCCAAGCTCCACACGGGTCATGCGGGACACCATGATCACCACAAGCTTCGGGAGAGAGGTCGTGCTTTCCAAAGAACGAAGCGGAAACGGCTGCGGATGTTTCATCAACTTCACTCAACGGTGGCCGATCGGTGACACCGAGCGCAGGTTTCACGACACCCTGAGATCGATGGTCCTCCGTGACCTGAGCGCGTGACGAAGTATCGGGTGGCTCTGAGCTCTGACACTGACTAGGGTCTGTACCAAAAGTGTGATGTGCACAATCATGTGATGTATGCGACACACGTGGCATGGGTTCCGTTTTGAGGCCTTGGTTTCGTTCTCTCCCATGGAAGCCGGGCTGAAGAGTTTCATGTTGATCATAATCGGGGTTTGGTTCGCATCCCAACTGACTACCATGATCTACCATGACATGTCCATGAAAAACCATTCCTGCTGCTACGCTGTCCTTTCCACCCTGCGCAGGCGACGGGATGGAAAGGTCATATCCCTATTCGAGATCACTAAAGCACGGCAGCGGCGCTCGCAAGCTGCGGGCAGTCTCATAGGCATCCGTCGTGAGAGGCAGCACTTGGTGTCCAGCTGCCGTGCGCTCCAGGCGCACCACTTTGGTCGGATCCACTGCCCGGAAGACTGCGCGATCCGATGCGTAGTCGATCACGGCGCCTAAGCTTCTCAAGGGGCTGATTGACAGCAGCACTGGCGCTTGGCCTTTGTCCAAGGCGTGCACCTTGAGAGTGCCCATCTTGCCACCGAGCGGGACCAGTAATGATGCCGTTGAGGCGCACTGGTCCTTCGAGGAATTTCCAAACCCAAAAACTGGCCGGTCAGCAAGGTCCACTTGTTGCACCCCAGAGTCACCCCGGATGGATTCATTCAGATCTGCAACCCTGGAGAGGGCGGCAATGGAGCCAATGGTTTTCGTGGCTCCGCCGTCAATGACAGCTTTTCCCTGCAGCATCACATCCTGGGTAGAGATGGTGGCCTGGGACTCGCCCATGAGCGCCTCCCCCACCGTGTCGGTGAAGAAGACGAAAGGTGCCTGCTCCTGGGTGTTCACGTGGGCTGACTGGTCAGCAGGCTTCTCCCGACATTCGGCCACCTTGTGTGGGCCACCACATCGGAAACATTGCATCCGTGGAGGCGTTTTGCCAAGTCGCTTCCACAGGCTTTGAGGTTCATTGCCCTTGCCCTTCCCTTTGACGGGGTAGTACTGCCGTGCCATTCGGACGGCATGCTGTTTAGCTCTGGCCTCCCTCAGTGTCTGTCGAGCCTCCTGCATCACGGCGTAGGCTTCCACCATTTTCTCTTGCTCCACTTCCATGGACTGGATCTCCTCGGTGGTGAAGCTCTCTTCCATCAAGCCATTTGTATCAAGCTCGCTCCAGAAGACCTTGTCCTCCTCCGGGTCGTGGTCCTCAGTCATGTGGGCCATGTACTTGCCCTTCTCCATGTCGCGGCGCTTGACGTCCGCATCCGTCCAGTGTTTCCTCAACACTGTCTCCACGGCTCGGACACTGAAATCACCTTGTAGGTCAGCTTGGAGAACATTTCTTTCCATCACGTCCAAGCCGGAGTCCATGAAGAGGTACCAGCCTTGGATGAAATCTGGCAAAATCTCTGGGAGCTCATCACGACTGCATTCCAGGGTGTCGGACTGTTTCCAGGACTCAGTATGATGGCTCCTGGACTGGTGAGAGTGGGCTTCTTCCCACTCATCACGCGCATGCCATTGCGCCCAGGGATCATCCTCCTCCGTCGCAAGGTCGTACCCCTCATTCTCAAACTCATAGGACTGCTCCTGCAGAGGTTGACTGTTCCTAGCCTTCCAGGTTCTCTGAGGGCCAGCTATTGATGAATGCTGAGATCTTGGATCTGAGTTCACTGACTTTGGCTTCTTTGGATGTTCTCGTTGATACCGGGCCATTGACTGTTGTGCCCGGGTGTATGCCTCGGCTTTTCTCATCACGAAGTCATTCATGCCCTCGCCCCGCTGGCGTTTGGTGCCCTTGAAGTACTTCATCAACAGCTCGCTCATTTCAGGAACCTTGGATTGGCCCCTTTCAGCACGAAGAGCTGCCACTAATCGACGGACCCCTCCATCGAAGGACAGCCAGTCCGCTGACTTGCCAATCAGGATGCGCCTGGCTGATCCAGACAGTTCACTGGCAATTCGAGGCCCACAAAGGTATCGCTTCTCTTTGACCACGGTCTGCTCATACAGGAGACAGGCTTCGACGAACTCTTCGAAGGTGGAGCTGTCTCCCGACCACACCGGCACCCCATCGCGATTCTTGAGAATCGCCCCTTGGTTGCCACCTGAAGACTCAACACGGCCTGGCGGTGCTGAGTACCATGACATCATCATTCACCTTTCTCACACGAGCCCGCAGGCTCCGCTACCGTGCAGGTAGCAACCACAAAAGCAGGCGGTCAGCCGGCGTCACTATTGCTCTAGTCAAAGATCTGGGGCCACCTAAGTCGAAAGACACCTAAAGGAAATCGGCAGGCTCTCGGCGTGCACGAAACAGGTGGCCGCTCGGCTCACGACCCTTTTGATCCCAAACTGCACGGTGATGGTGAATGAGCTATCTACTTAGGATGCGAAGAAACTTGCAATATGTATATTTGGATGAGTGCCTCATACTAAACACTCCCAGATGAGCTTTTGGTCCAGAATCGGTTCTGCATGTGATTCTGTGTGTTATTAGGTCGCAGGATGTGGGGACTGACTACACAGAAAACTGTGAGGGGCGGCTGTAAATGGAGGGCGTATGGGGGTCTTCCTGATTTCGTGTGCAGGCGTTCACACGGATCAGGGTTGAGGTAGATGCCGATCAGAGGAGGCTCAAATTCTTCACTTGCAGGACATCTTCAGGTCATCTCACTGGTGAACACCATCAATCATCAATCAAAGGGTGGTTTGGAGGCATTGTAGGCCCCCCCATGTGCATTGGGCTGCATGTATCCAATAATATAATATTATCCAATATATAACCCTCCGTTCGATTCTTTTCGGTGGTGCTGGTAGATATCCGGTCTGAGCACAAAACTGGGCACCAGCTGGCTCGCCACAGGACCACGACCCCCGTCTTCAAAGCCAACAATGTTTTGGCTTGAAAGGGGATGGGTTTCGCAGAACTGGACTTTTTCCAGGTGAGCGCCAGTAGACGGGCCAAGACTGGAGGTGCTGTTTCACAAGCCTCATGCAGATATAGAAACACTTATATAGCAGACTGTGTCATCCACGTTTGGAAGGCAAGTTTCTTGTTTTCTTCAGCAATCAATGCGGTCATTTGTGCTACGTTGAGCTGCTCTGCATTTGTTCATGTCCATTGGGACGTGTTCGGCACCGTCGTTGTCACCAGCGAAGTCTGGTGCGGCTCAAGCCCAGGGCTGCGTCAGGTGAGGTGAGATGTGTGAACCCAAGGCTACCATTTCCCCGATCGATCGATCCACAGGGCATGTGGATGGGTGTTTCCATGCCGGAAGGACAGATCAAGGTGTTTTCATGTTGTTTTCGACCCCATCGAAGCTGAAGAACCACAGACTAGCCTTGTCAACTGCAAAACGATCCAATCGATCTGTAGCTCCAATTTGTGCACACTCGGCATGTTTTTTGGACCTTAAAACTCCGGACAGTGTTGCATTCCCCCCCCCGCAGACGAACATGGATCCTGCAGACAAAGACTCCAAGACGATCTTCCTTTACAACTCGGAGGTTTTCGGGGTCCAGATCAACCTGCAGGGTATGATTTATCCATTGTTTAATATGTATATATATATATACACATGTCTTTATCATAGATATATTTGTATATATTTATATATAATATACACGGTATATATACATAACATTCATGATATCAACTCTTCTGTTGACTTACGAGCTCGACCACGATCCCCTCCGGATCTACGAATCTACGAATGACCCACCGGACAGTTGGCACATCTTGCCTGGCATGCTGCTTGAGTCCCCGTATAGAGATCCTTTGGCTCATCTTTGCACTGCCGACCTGTGGAGAGAAGCACCTCAATGTGGCACGGGGTCCCACCATCTCCGCGGAGATGGTGCCCCTCAGAAAGAAGCGTCTCATCATCGCGCACTTGTTTGGCGCACTCGGCTTTTGGGGAAGAAAAGGGTCTCCAACCTCAACCGGGGAAAGACATTCGATCCCAAGAGCCCCTGTCTCTTAGGATCGACTCCGACAAATGAAAGGGGAGGGACATCCAGACCGACAACTCTTGCTTTGGATAACACTCCTCTGTTTGGGAAACTCATTCGTATTGCATCTGCTGAAACCCATGTTTTCTATCTGAATATTTGGATTTGGGATGTTTGTCTTTGTTTCTGTGATTTATTGCAGAACAACATCCGCCGTTTTTTGCAATAGAGCTAGAAAGGACAAAGTAATTGATGATAGTTGTGTGCAGGATTTGCCCATCAAATAAATGTTATGAAAATGTCAAGTAGGGGCCAATTGTTCCAATTGAAAACGATTTCGGCAGTCCACTCTCACAGGCAGTCATTCACGCTTGATCAAAACGATGTACCTGAAGCGCATTGGGGACAGGATACCCTGCCACAACAATGCACCGCTCGGATCTCGCCCACGGGTGTCAAGGTATGAAGATGTCATCCACTTGACTCACTTCTTTCCAGTTGATGTGAACATCTGAGAGAGAGAGAGAGAGAGTTCAAGTGGCAGTGTTGCTCACTGGCCACCTGGCCACCTGTGTCCAGAACATCTCTCGCCGCAGGCAGCTCAAGCGCAGCACGTGACGGCGGGTGACACCGCCGTGGCGAGGCCGGATGCAGCGGGCACGGCTTCCCAGAAGGAGACCCTTTGGCATGAGACATGGGACATTCGTGGGGACCACCCCCTGGTTTGTAGCGGCAAAATCGTCAGAACAATAGGCCATGCCATCCACTTGGACCATTTTCAGACAGATTCGCAGGCAGAGCAGTCGTTTTTCGAAGGGGGGTTGCACGTCAGAGATACGGACCCATCTTGCAGAAGATGCTGTGCCAGCAATTTTGGATCGGATTTGCGTCATCCCACCAAAGCAAGTTAGATTATATATTGAATAGGTCAACCGATATGAGCACCACAAAAAAAAGCGACAAGAAGTACATAGACTCAGAATGACTCAGACATAATCAGACATATATATATATACTCATAGATGTTCTGAAAAGTGAACCGTTGGACCTGAATGTTGACCAAGTTTTGAGGTTCCACCTCGCCCTCAGTGGATGTTCTGAAGAGTACTCAGCAGTCACTATGACTCTTGTGTGTGTGGTGCTCGAGGCTGGCCAATTCAACCACTGATCAAAGAATATTGAAGATCTTCAACTAAAGCGCTTTCTGGGTTCTTTTGACCCTTGAACCCATGGTGTCACTTGTGACAGGTTGGATTACCACTTGCCACCACTGAAACCCCTTGCCACCCCGCAGCGGTGAAGATGACTGCAGCGGCCATGGCGAGTTGCATGCATCAATGACCGAGGCTGTCTGGGTGGTGATGGCTGGGAAGGATTGTGCTGGTGTGTTGAGATACCGTTGAGCATTGTCAAAGTGCACATACAAATGCATAAAACATGGGAAGAGAGACTATAACAACTATAGCCGTGTGGGAATGTGAATTGATGATCCTTGGGAATTGGTATGTGAATGATTTGAGGATGACAAAGCGCTCCTGCAAGTACTCCTGCAATTTCCAAAAGGGCGATGATACGTGCGGCTCACAAAGACCAGTGAACCGAAGAGTGAATTCCACCATTTGGAATATTTGAGACATACATAGACATACTGACCTATGGTCATCCTCAGATGGATAGTGAACTTAGATGAACTTCGCAAACGGAAGACCATGTTGCAGTTCTTGATTTCAATACCACTTCTATCCCTTTGTATGGCCCCGAAAAGGCCGACACACCTCCCGTGGCCGAGGTGAGTGATTCATCGTTGGCGCGGCTGGCACGCCGCTTTCGCCATGTCCCGCGCGAGCCGCGCGTGGCTGGCGGGGGCCCTCACCGGATCGGTGGAGGCCTCGGAGCGGGAAATCATGAATGCGATCTACTTTGAGTTGGTGGGCCCCCTACAAGCGCCCTGGACATGACGTGGAGAGGAGAGAAACGTCAGAGCCTGTGTTTTTTTTTCACAGTCCGTGCGGTTCCGGGACGTTTCGGGTTGCAAGTCCGGCGCCTGTGGTTGAGGGGAACCGTTTGGATTGAAGAATAGATGTGGTGAATCCACACACGTGGAAGCTTTTCGCATGATGGGATACTCCCGGCCCTTGAAAGACGAGAATGCAGAGGCTTTTGATTAAACTGCCAGCGTTTTCTCCACCTGTGTCTAGCTGGAAGAGTTGCCACATGTTTTTCGGCTGCCCATAGTTTTCCAGCTGCCAGATGGAAAAAGACATCCTACAACTCGACGAAAAGGGAGACAAGATTGTACATTGACAATACATGACATGTGTTTGCGCATGCATGTTGCGATATCTTTCTATATACGCCACACAGGCGGCCAAGAACGGTCAAAAAAATTAAGTCGAAGTCGCGAAGTCGGAACTCAGATCTGTGGTCAGTGAATATAGTATCTAGTTGGATGTGACAATGTTTTCCACATGTGATAGTGATACAGTATGATACAGTATGATACAGTTGTGATTGCAATGTGATATACTTGTGGAAAAGGATATCGATGTGATATAGTTCTGATTTGAGGATGCAGATTGCTTTTGCACTGGACCCTGGGCCTCCTTTCACCACATGTTCAACTTCACGCTGGCGCACGCGCCGCTCACTGCGGGGACCCTGGCCGAACGCAGTGCGCCGAGCGTGGCGCTGTGTGAGAGGGCAACGCCATTGGTGCGGAAGACCTTGCGACAGATTATGGAGGAGGATGGCAGGTTGAAGAAGGCCCTTGCCCGTGGGGGAAAGGGCAAGACATGGCAAGGCGACCCCAAGAAGGTCCAGAGCTGCTTGTTGGGGGACAAAGTCATTGTGTCAACCACTTTGGAATGAGCGGAAGGACATGGAAGAGAGGAACTCCGCAAACAGGTGGGGACGACGAGTCGAGGATTCGCTTTGGAGCCCAGGGTCGCTAAAAGAAATGGGCACCAGAGATGCCAGAGCCAGGGGCCACTGTCAACTGTTGCCCGCGCATGTGAAGACATCATGTTGCAACGGGGATGTTTGAAGTCAAGTTCTTGAATCTATCAGTTCATTTCCCCATGAAGGGCGACCTGATGACCATCTTCTGCGCTTGGGGTAGATCTGACAGTGTTTTGGCATATCGAAAGGCCAGTCGCTAGCTATGCCATACCTGGTAGAGGGTTCTCCACACCAAAAGAAACACCCTAAAGCACCTGCTACTTTGACCCATGTCTTGCTGACCCGCCGTGGCCGCCGTGGTCTTTCGACCCCCTCATCCAGGAGGCCTTGAGGACCTTGAGCAGCGAGAACTGGGTGAGCTTCGACGGTCACTGGTGCCGTGGTCCATGAAGCGGTCCGTCCCCACTTGGGGTGAGGCCTAAGGGTCAGAAGGCGGAGAAGGCGGAGACGGTGTTCAGCCCCTTCTCCATCTTCTCCCGGTCGGGCCTCCCGAATTCACAAGTCCCAGAACTTCAAACATAGGATTTGGTGCACGAGGTCCTTGTCTGACAAGTCAATGGGGCCCAAAGGCACCTTCGGCACTCCTTCCCTCGCGTTGGGAGGGCAAGGAGGATTTCTTCGCCACCAGGTGCCCAACTGGCCTGGTGGCGGCCTTAAGCCTTTGCGCAGCTGTCCACGTACAACTGGCAAGACCCGAAGAGGAGGAGGAAGAGGACCCAGTCGAGACGATTGATTGGGCCCAGGCGCGGTGCAGGTGTGGCTGTGAAGGTTGAGAGGTTCCGAAGGCTGTTGAAGCATGTTGAAGCTACACTCAGCCAACATAAACCCCGTTTTGAGAGGGTTTGCCAGGTGGGGTCTGAGGTGAAAACGGCTCAGCGATGGTTTGGACTTGTCACTTTTGGTGAAAGGGTGGGTAGAATGGCCCTCATTGACCACTAAGACTAAGAACACTAGATGATCTAGATGTTTTTTGACCATCCATTCATTCATGAAGCGAATCCATTCCATCGCTTCATTCGTTTTGCAGGCCTTGGTGACCTGGCCGGACATGTTGCCAGATGACTGCGAAAGGCACTACTGGTGCCTGGCTTACATGGAAGGAGACGAGACACAGAGCTCTCCCCAAGCAAACCATGGCTTCGGTATGTTCACACGGGGGGAGGAAGCCATGTTAACCAAACATACCATGGCTTCAGGGGAGGAAGCCATGGCTTCATGCAACGTAAATAGAAACCAGGGCCATTTGAGGAAACCATGGCTTTCCTCGAACACTTCGAGGAATTCCGGCCAAAGCGGTGGTCAACCGATCCTTCCCGGTCGACTTGAGTGTCCTCACTTGCTTGATATGCGCCAGATGAGCTGGGCATGGCCCGTGGGGCCCGCATGGCCCGCATGGCCCGTGTGTCACCATGAAATCCTCCACCGTTCGCTTGTCCTCCACCATGTGAGTGACTCCGAGCCATGCAGGACTTTTGGCACTGGCCACCGTTCGCCATTGTGGGCCTTGCATTGCGCAGGCCGGTTCGACTCCACCGATGTCAGACGACCGTGTGGTCAGTGGTGTCACGCTTTTCTGGGCCGAGGTCCGATAGATACCCTGCAAGATCCTACACCCAGTAGTTCCAAAAGGGAATTCTCCACAAGAATCTTCTAGGAACAAGAAGCTACTCGTACTAGGGGCTCCTGGCATCGCTACTAGGAGCAAGGATGCTACTAGGCCACTCCCTTGGGGACTAAAGAACATTCCTTTGGAACATTCTCCACGGTCATTGCATAGCTCGTTGGTCATCTCAACACCGCTCACTCTCACTCTCACACGCAGAGGTCTTGGTTCAGAGGTCTTCGTCCTCCAACACTAGTCACTAGCGGTCACGTGCTCGCCATCGATGGCGCCCCAGCCAGGCTCATTGGTTCATCACGGCTCAGGCCAGGTCACGTTTTCAGTTGTTGGGCGAGTTCCGAAAACCATTGGAAGGGGTATATTGCGGGCATGTACTTCGCTAAGAATCCTTTGGTCTTGGGCAGACAATGATTGGATCATCCCTCATTTGAAGGTGCTCGCCCCTTTGTCATTCTTTCCCCCAGATTAATGGCCCTGTCCCAAACTCTACAGAACACCAAGGGCGCCAGCCTGGTTTGCAGGATATCCTGCACCACTTGGAAGCCCCAGAAGAACGACCGGCAGTTCCTACCAAAAAAATATGCTTTCAATCTGGAGAAGTTCCATCAAATTCCTGCCTCCTACTATCTCCTACTAGTGGTGTTGCCTCACATATCTCAGAATATCCAGCCGGCCTTCACGGAATCTCCGCCAAGCGCAGAACCTGCGCGAGAACCGAACATGCATCCCCGGTGGAACGATCCTGCCCAGGAAGTGAATGACAACGTTGTGCGTTGGCTGCCATGGCTCCGGCAAAGGCCTGGGGCCCCTTGGCTCCACGACCGGCTTTGATTCTGAGAATCAACTCAAACAGCCTTCACAAGCGAGATGGCTTGTTGGATAACACACACGCGCGCGGACACGCGGAAAAGCCCGTGGTCCTGTTCAAAGCGACACACACAGACATGCACAGGGTGTTCACACCCTGGCGATTGAGACCATGCACATCGTTTTGAGGTCATCATCCACTGTTAGGGCGGGGTCAGGTTTCGAGATATCTCCATTCTATCGATGTGATCTTACTGAAGACACCTGGTGGCTGAATCCATCATCACCACCAGGTGGCTGAGGGTAATGCTCAACAAAACATGGTGAACAGTTCCTAATGTAGAACTGTTGATTTTAACCAAAAAACCCTGACATGGATTAGTATAAAATGCTAGGTTTGATGAATCAAGGAATCAACCGTCTACGTTCGACATCGACCTGTTTTCTGCCTCTTTCTCACTCACCGACTCGCAACCAGGTTCCACCCCCGCGATGGCGCAGCGGCATCGCCGCAGAGGCCAGTCGTCCGGGAAAGCATCGCGTGCGGCCGGCACTCAGCTTGGAAGCCGCTGGTGCCTGGGCCGGGATCCGGAGGAAGGCACCGCAGGATGGCACTGGGGAGCCTTGGCAGCGTTTTGGCCGAAGAGGGTGGTTTGCTTCATGTTGTCTTGTTTTTTTGGGGGTGTGGCTCAAGACCTCGAAGTCGCAGGGCGCTAGGTTTGGGTCCAATCACTGTTGTTTCGAGCATTTTGAGCCACTGCCATGATCTGCCAATATCTGCCATGTGCTTTTCTCAAGGAGGAAGGCAGAATAGAGGGCCAACCGTCTTGCGGGTCTTTGATGGTCCAATTTGTGGGGTTGAGCTGAGGCCACCACCCTGCTGAACAACATGATCACTGCTTGGTCGGAACCATCTTCAAAGCTTTCCTGGCGCCAGACACTCTTCGAGAAGATCTTCGGTCAACTAGCAGACCTGCCAGGGATGCAAGCGCGAGGCATTCAGGAAGTTCATGCCGCTTGACCGAGGGATGTCGAGGTTGGCAAGGGAGTGAAGTGCCTGGGACGACCGGGTCATGGGAATCCATCTTTCCAGTCATGAGTTTTGAGGGTGAGTTGGGCAATTGTTTGGCAAATGATGTGACAGCAGGAGTTTTGCTGGCCGGGTTTTGCTTGCGATTGTCTTTGTCTTTCTTTCCAGGTGGTGCTGGTGCTAGTGGTTTCAGGTTGTTTGGGGGGTTCGATCAGGGATCACACTTGCCAAGCCTGGACCTGTCTGTGGGACGCATATGACGCCTTGGCGCGGATTCTGCTGATCAGCAGAATGTGGGCCCCGGAAGGCATGGACATGCGCTTGGAGGGCCATGTGTTCTATATTGTTCTATCATCAACTATATAGTGGATGCTGGGACGGGGAATTCCATGACAAGGGGTAAGTTTGTGGCTGACATTTTTCCTCAGCATCCGGACTACAGTCATCCAGCATGGAAGGCTCCAACTTTGCAACATCATTGTCCCGTTTCTCGTTTCACAGGTGGAAGGGCATCCGGAGGACTTCACTGGTCGCCGGAGCGGCTTGCGCTTCTGGGTCTCCAAATCAAGGACCAACCGTCAAGAGGCCAATGAAAAGATAGAGAGTGGAAATCAATGTGTAACGAATGTGGCGGTCCCAAGCTTTGATCCGTGTTTTGGCGAATAAATGTCTGTAAGTTGCAAATGGGCCAGAAGAAGCAGAAGCACTCTCTAAAAGCACGTCCAAGGCCCTTGAGAATTGACAAGCCTACATGCATCTATAGATTCCAGCTGTTTTGGCACGATCCCTTTCAAACCTCCCTCGGGGTCGAAGAGCTAAATCTCAGAAAGGCAAGCCCGACCCCATCCCCAGCCTTCCATAGCCTTCGCTTCACAGCCTCATTCTGACGCCTTTTTTCGTTCCTTGTCTTGGCTCGACGTGAGGCTTCTACATCTACAATTTGCCAGGTGCTTTGTTCGAGGTGCTTCGTCAGCTCCATGGCCGAGTGCGAGAGGCGCGGGCCTTCTTCTCGACCCGTCTCGTCCGTTGAACCGAACAGGAAGTTGTTGGACCTGGCCGAACCTCGGGTGGTTTCTGAGCACCCTTTGAGTTGCAATGTTGGGAGGACAAGCCGTTTTGGCCACTTACCACCTGTGCCATTGAAATACAGCTGGCATGAACCGCTGGGAGAACGCGCTACGGTCGACCGTGAAGCTGCGTGTAGATCCAGGGTGGAAACTTCGCGGGGAAGCCGGTGGATTTGCAAACTGCCGAACTCTGACGTCAGTGTTTGCAGCAGCAAATCGTTTCAACAGGTCAACAAGAGCACAACTTATGCTGTTCCCTGGACATGGAGATTCAAGTCTTCAGGTAGTGGAACCGTTATTGAGCTATTCTCACCCGAGGCACACCAAGGCCCTGTCAACCATCCCATGTTGCAGGTTGCAAGGTGGGCAAACCCAAAGAAGATACACAGAATCATCCTTTGTCTTGCACCGACTTGGGTGTGTATTCTTGTGGGGGAACCTCCCAACCAACAGGCAGACATGGTCTATTGTCCGAACCGAATCGAAGGAGTCGTTGAAGGGCATGCTCTTCATGAATTTTGCTGGTTTTCTCAGGGATCCTTTTTTCGCGTCCCACACTCCTGCTGCCCAAACATTGGGCGGCATGGACAGTCCTGCTGCTCATCTCAACCGTCCCACACTCATCTCAGACTCTCCGCTTTGATCAGATCGCCCTGCTTTGGCCGGAAAACGCTAGCTTCTTTGCTGGTGCAACTGGCAGGCAGAGTCCCAGCCGGCGGCCTGCAACTTGGGGCTGGCGCCCTGCACCGAGACCCACAACCCACGAGGCAGGCGCCGGTGGGCGTGGCTGGAGGTGCAGATTGGTTGGGTGGAGGTGGTTTCAGAGGTTTCAATTGTGCTGGAGTTCTAATTAATGTAGGATGTTGATACACAAGACCCGCCCCATTTGGAATATCAAACCTCTTCTTTTGGGGGGAGGAGTCTACAGTCTACATTACTGTTGATGGAAAATAGGCTCTGAAAATCCGACGTATTTGAAGAAAGAAAACACTCGGTCCTAGGTGGTGCAGGAGAACTCTTCATGGACCAGGAGTGAGGTGAATAAGATTACTTTCATCGTGTCACGAGTTGCTGGGAACTCCTGTGTACGAACACATTCAAGACAGTCTTAAGAGTAGCTATCCGGCACCCACCTGATTGCTGGTACTGATCTGGTACTGATCAACGCTGTTGTATGCTGCTGTGTTTGGACAATGGCCTTCTTCCGAACCCGATGTCCTGGACCCCGTCTTTGGAGGCACCTTCCAGAACCCTTGGCCAATGGGTCGTCTTCATTGGTTACTCTTCATGGGGATCCGTTGGTTGAGATGCTTATATAGGAAGGTTAGGAGATGTACGGCAGATCTAGGTCGCCCTGGCCGCCGCACTTGAGGTACCTTCAACAGCTTGCGGCCGTTCATGGCAGAGTCCACTTTCTTAGCAAAGCTCCTGTCAGGGCCGGATCATGTCATTGTGGAGGAGCTGGGATCGGCTAAAGCACAGCTATGTCCTTCTTCATCCACGGAGTCCAATACGTCAAAGATAGGTTTGGGGGCCACATGGACTAGATCTTCATAGACACGAATTAGCTTGGCAGTTTGGGAGCCAATTTGAGAGAAGTCTTGGCTCATGAAATTCGTTCAGGACCCTAATGAAGCCAGCTACTTTGTCGTGCCATTCCTTTCATCGATGTGGTGCTCCTTAAGCGCTCCCTTTTGCTGGGTGCGCTGTTCATCACAGAGGCCGTTAAATGCATTGCTGCCACTCTTAAGCTTCTACAACGCCTCCACCGCCCATCGGCATTTGTTCCTGGGAACTGACTCTGTGGGTGACCTGCCACAAGATTTGCAGATGCAACCGTTGGTCCTTCACTATGGGCCATCGCCCTGCGAAACCGGACCTTTGCTTACTCCTCCCACCATCACTGATGCTTGGCCGTGATGGTGATGGTGTCCCTGGTGATCCTTTTTGGAACTGAACAAATGGATGAAGGGGATCGTTGCTTGCCTTCTTCCAGATTCCCTTCCTGGAGTTGGGAAGCCGCATGGTTCCCACACCAAGGGAGGGTCTCTCAAGATCGGTGTCGTTCGTGTCGTTGGTGTTTGGTCCGGTGATTTGCTATGTTCACTTGATCATCCAAGGATGACTTGCCTTCCCCTCCTGGGCGTTGGGAGTTTAGCTCAAAGGATTTGTTGGTCTTCATCGCCGATGGCGGTTCCAGCGAACGCCCTTACCGTGCCGGAGTCCTAGAGCAGTTGAAGCGTTGGAAACGTCGGCTGCCACAGCTTTTCGCAGTGGCTGAGCGAGAGGAACGGCCGACGGGAGTCTTGCCTGAAGTGCTGTGGGGGCAACAGATCCTCGGCTGATTTGCGACAGCTTTGGAATGGTGTGAGGCCATATTGGATTGCACTACAATTGGGGTAGGGGGACCTCCCAAAGACCCTGGAAGAAGGGAAATAGACCAAGACCCATTGGATCGGGGTCTCCCTATTAAGATCTTTAGTGGGATAAGCTCCAACGGAGGGGGCAAGCTGTTGGGCCATTTCTAGCTAAGGATTTGGTTCGGGGAGGTAGCTCTTCAACCGAATCCGTTGATCAGATTGCGAGGATGGCATTTAACTGCACTTCACTAAATATAACGTTCTCACTCACCTTCAGCTAAATCAAGCTCGCCCAGTGATAATCATCATGGAATCCCTTTTTGGCTGGCGAATCATGCATTGCGCCCCGTGCCGTGCCGTTCTGCCGACGCAAATCAGGATCAGGCGCGCCCTCTTCTGCCCGGTGCTACCTGGAGACAACACCTTTCGCATGCGAATCTTCCATGCCATTCTGGCAGGTTGCATCCCAGTGGTGATGCTTTTCCCTGGTGGAAGCTGGTACCGAAGCCATGGTCCACCCATCGCCTCGAGCTTTCCCTTCCCGTCACGTCGCTTGGACGCTTCGTCCTCGACAGATCGGTTTTCCCGAGTTCGGCTGGGTTTGATCCACCGAAGCTCTGTGGTTTCGAGACATGGTTTGGTGTGGACGTAGGGAGATGATGGGAGATGTAAAGAGTGGCAGAGACGCACTCCACAACGGTGCGTAGCTGGTGCCATTTCACGATGGCAGAGATGCTCCACCACCTCGACTCATTTAAGATGTTGCAATATGAAGAAGGAGAAACACAGGAACGGTGGGTTTTCGCGATTTTGTCAACTCCTTTTCTAAGCTCTTGGGGTACTCTTGAGCTCTTTCAGAACGCTAATGTCTTGCGCGGAGTAGTTCGCCCGTTGCGCGGAGTGCGCCGCACTGGTGAACTTCAGCGAGTTGTTGAGGCATCGATTGGCGTGGTTTAAGTCTGGAGCTGCCTTTCGATCCCAGCAACAGCACCGCTTTTCAGTGGGCGAAGGAGATGATGGTCACTTGACGGCATGAGACAGCATGTGGAACAAAGGTGTTTCCTTCTTTTGTAAGTGGGCAAGTGGAACTATCCAGTCGAGGTGGTGAAAAGCTTTGGATCCCGTCATTGAAACATTGAAACCATCACTTTGTGCGGTCGACCTGTTTCAAGGCGTTCAGATGTAAAGCACTTGTCTCAGTCATGGCCTGCAGGTCATGTTGCTCCAGATGGACCCTAGAGACGTTTATCGCAAGCAGCAGCTCGGCCAGTCGAGAGCCGGCCAGCCAGGTTCGGGTCGATGCTGCAGCCATACGAAAGGTCAATGTGTAGCCTACTGGCGGCCTCCAACCTACTAGCAATGGCCTCCACCTACTGGCGCCCCACCCGGTTTGGCCGCGAAATCGCCTCGCCAGGCAACTCCTCGTGGCCGCCGCGCCGCTGCTTCGCTTCGACTTCCGCGGCCGCGCGCCGGACGCCTTCACCGCCCTGCTGGACGAGCTCGCCGCGCGGCCCTTGCGCCCACCGGAGCACCTGGAGCGCGGGGCGCGGCCTGGAGTGGGGATGGTTTGGGGGGCAAGCATACGGAATTGATCAGGGACAGATGGAAAAAGACGTGTGAGATGTCTGGCCATTTTGGGATATGAAAACTGATAGGAATACATACCGTACTGAAAGATCTGAAAGTTACTTTGGTGTGCGTGTGTGCTTCTTTGTTTGTTGGCCTTTTTTGCCCGAAGCTAGGGTTTCGTAGCTCTAGTCACCTGCAGTGTTCACTTGGAGTAGATGCCCAGGTCAGAAGGAGGCCCAGGTCCGAAAATCGGTCCTTTCCAGCCTCACCCGACATTGGGAAAATGGCACTGTTCAGCTGAACCATGAGACGCATGGCATGAACCCGTGGATGGAATCATGGTTACGTGGATGGCATGGCCCCGAAGAGGACAGTGGACAGTGGGCAGTGACCTTGGCCCAAGAAGTCGAAATCAAGCACCAATATGGCCAATCGCCCTACTCCTTTTTTGGGAAGCAGTAGGGCAACGTTGGCCTACCGGTATCTGATCAACTGCAAGTACCAACAAGAATGAGCTCAAGGGTGCAGGACAGGCGCACGAGTTGTTGAGACCTGACTTGTTTCACCATGAGCACTTGACCTGCTGGAGGAGTGCTTTGACCCAAGGGAGCGCTTCCGCACGCAGCGATGCTTGTCGGGCGTGGATCACTTGGCACGTGGAGAGGAAGAGATCTATGGAGCCTCAGAGAAGCGTGGGGGAGGCATCCGTTGAAACGCTTCGCTCCCTCCGAAGACCCTCAACAAACCACAACAAACGTCTATTTAGCTGTTTCATGTCACAAGTCTCATGGTGATCGTGTCAGGTCTTGAGCATGCAGACTGAAGACTTGGGAGAACAAAACTTCCTTTAGTGTGTGTGTGTGTGTGTTTGCATTTGTTTACCTATTGTTGTGGAAGAATCGCTTGTGGATGCTCGCTCGTGGCATTCTTCTATATGCATTTCACGTAATCAGCAGATGAGGAAACTTCTCAGCTGCTGTCCATGCACCTCAAGCACAGAGCTTGAAAGGCAGTTGAGCCAGGTTGAAAGAGGCAAGGTCCAGTGCAACACGTTGATGAAAATGATTATGCGTATTGAAAAGGTATGCCTAAAATACAGTATATGTACTCCCTGGAATCATCATGGAAGTGGATGGCATGGCCCTTAGATGACAATTTTCCTCTACAAACAGGTGGTTTTCCACGTCCATGATTATTTTAGGGAGTGTGTACTTCAAACAGAACTGTAGCCTGGCATTATCAAGAATCAAGAAAGAGCGGCGCTGTGCAGGTGTGTGGCACAAAGAAAGAAAACCGTATGCCGATATGCGAAGGTGCATGTCATTAAGTTTGACATTGTTCAATAAATAGCCCATAGATGGCCCGGAAGACATCACTTGCCAACTGAGGAGTGGTTGCTTGCTGCCCCAAATGGGGCCAAAGCGCACCGACGGAGGCCTTGCTGGAGTGTTGGGGTGTTGGGCAAGGAGCTCCTCAGGAGAGGTTTCTCACTGCTTGCTAAGGAGCAGGGCCCATATGACGTCGCATGGCCCACGCTGCCCCGGGAGCAAACAACACGCACCTAGCCCTCAAAGCTAATGCAGAAAAGTCCTGGCAAAGGAAAGGCATTATATACAGAATGGATGCCGAATGACCATGTGTTGCCTGTAAGATGTGGGTTGGTAGTGGCCGTTCATCCATACACACCATTAATCTCAACCTACACCAATACACATCCATCTTGAGTGGTCAGGTGGGGTGGGGTGTTTCCAGTTCCCCTTTTTTGAATCGTTGGTTTCTTTTGCCGGGTTTCCGGACACGGTTTTTGGGGTTCCTCCCCGGTGTTCCCAGTCTGTCATCCTCTTCCGCTCCTTCAGCAGAGGCCCAAAGCTGCAATGTGGGAAGAACGGCTGATGGCTCGTGTGTGAGCTCCTTGGACCGCGGACAATGCTTTTGACCTACACATGGAAACCCTCATGAAAAGCACTGAATCAACCCATTGGAACATATAGGACCAGCGGCCCGTGGTTGAGGGCAAATCATATGTTGGACAACTCCACTGAATGTCTTGTCTCCGCACGTGTAACACCCCCATTCACTTGCAGATTTCGAGGCTTTGACGAGGCAGAGCACGGAGATCCCGAGCGGCAACGGAATTTGAAATCCCACCTTGAGGCACTGCGGGCGGCACATGTGAAAGCAGTGCTGGTCGGTGTCAAGGCTCCTTGATTTGATCCATTGGCCGATCTCGAATCATGGGGACATGTTGGATAGAGCCCAAAAAAATACGATCGTCACCAGCAGATCCATGTCGTGGCGAATTGGTGCGGAAAGGGCAGCCGAAGACCCGAAGCTGCAGTTTGGTTGGGTCTACCGATCAAACTCGTCGCCCGTTGTTCAGGCCATCTTGTTGCGCCAAAGCAAGTTCGAGGAGGTGCCAAAACTGGAAAAAATGATTAAAAAAGAACCAGACAAAAAAAAACGGCGCTTAGAATTGTCTGGTCCGTTCAATCCTCTCCTTGTGTTGTCCATTCCACCATCCCTGCCTTCGCCTTCAGGTCCTGGAGGAAGACCAAGACTGCATTTTTTGATGGAGATTGCCTCGAACGGTCGAACCATGGGCATTTCATCCGGTCGAACCATTTGCCCGATGACTCCGCTCGAAGGGAGTGAGTCCATGAGGACGGACGGCGCAGCAAAACGGAGCGAAGCTGCGCGGCGATCCGCGGTTGGCGCGGGACGGACGGACCGTTCCCCAGCCCGGGGTTTGGGCAAACAAGACAACGGAGAGAAGCGAATAGCGGGCTGGGGGGGGGCAGATGGTGAAGAATCTGCTCAATTCAGCAAAGCAGAATTGGGCAAACCAGAGCAGTCTTTCCTTTTCAGCATAGGAGCATTCGTCCACACATTCCAATGAAATGCTGAAATGCTCGGTCCAGACCACCCAAAACTCCCCTTTTTCTCATCGCATGTGAGATTTCTAGCTCTATTGGACCATCCTCGACCCCTGTATATGTACATTAAAAAGACATAAAATTGAATGCATTCTTGGGGGGGGTGGACATGGATCTCTTTGAGCTCGCGAAGCTGCCATGCTGTTCCCACACCTGGCATAACAAGTCATGGCTTTTGTAACCGTAGTGGAACCGCTGGGTCGCTCGGTTCGGAGCGCCACAAGCTGCGACGACCAATTCCATATACATACTGTATACAAACCATTGATGCTCAAGTTTGTCACAAGCTGGAGTTGGAAGACTCCTGAAGATCATAGTGTAGACTGTTGATGAATACACCCCGCGTATGGAGAGGTGTTTTCCATCCAAATGGGGGGTTATTAATCAACAGTCATCAACAGGCTAAATTACTTTGGAGGTGCTGATGCATCGACCCCTAGCTACTGATGCATGGACCCCTATCTATTGTCTATTGACCTCCTTGCTCAGAATGTACCCCCTTCCATCCCCTTCCTTATAGGTGCTGCGGCCAGGGGATGACCTCTCGATACCTCTCTTGGCAATGCCACTGGTCATGGTCAGCCACCCTTATTCAAGAATAAACCGTAATAAACGGCTCCAGAACAGGAAGAAACATCTCTCCGATATGTTTCGTTTCTTCGAACACTAGGCACTCATCAGCCAGTTCTTTGGCTCACACAATCCATTGGTCTGTGTGCCAAGGCAGGGTGATGGCGGCTTTCAGGGCCTTGCAGACCAAGGCTGTAGCAGCAGCTCGGGCAAACAACGCTCAGGCGGGTCATAGAGGGGGAGGAGTTGACTGTTGATCAGCGGGACTTGACGCTGTGCCAGCCACAGCGGTCAGCGTCACAACAGGGGAAAGAGAGTCAGAGTCAAGGTCCTTTTTTTGGTGTGCACCCCAGCGAGGCACCTTGCCAAACTGAATAAGTGCGAACACAAGTCAAAGCGACTTGGGATATAACATTGGCAGCATTTGTGCTCAAGTTCCGGTTTGTTCTCCTCCGCTTGAGCATTGCGATGGGCTGTGGCACCAGCACTTTGGTCACGGCAGTCGCGAAGGGAAGGAAGCAAGGTGGAGGCCAGAAGGAATCTTGAGCTTGAAGATCACAAATCACAAAACTAAGCCAACCACCACTACTGGACAAACACTAGTAGTACATGGTAGTACTACACCCTCAGCCAATGTAAATATACTGAAAGAATGCTGGAAGACCACATTTTTGTGTTAACCGCCAGAGCCGTCGTGGTGCAAGAATCAACACGGTTTCTATGCATTGTGACAAACGGTTCGATCTCCGACACCCGATCCAAGGAGAAGTCCTTGACATGTCGCCGGGCCCCTCCAGCAGCCAAAAGCGGTTCGTTCGACGGCGTTCGACGGGTTCGGGTTCAGGGTTCCAGGCTCGGAGCTTGGGAGATCACGAAGGAATAAGTTTACCTATTGAATAGATAGTGGCACGGTGTCCAATACGTTTTGAAAGGGATTTCACTTTTCTATCTACAAGATGAGAGCAGGTTGCAGGCCCGCCCTTTGGAACTGCCTATTTCTGTCAGGCCCCTGCTGGGTGCCATCGACTTTCCAGGTGAGCGTTGTTGACAGAACCTTCACAGCAAGCCGACATCCTGCCAAAATCATCCCGAGCCTGGTCACACAGTCATCGGCCCATCTCGTTTGTGATCACAACACTCCCGAGGCTGCTAAGCAGTGTTGACATCTCCAATGTTTGAGAAAAATCGGACATGATTAGAGTTCCTGTGAGACAGGCCAAAGACCCAGCCGCAACAGCCTCCCAATAGTGATTGGTCTCTGAAATCAATCATTGAGCCGAGGTCGTACCATTGTCGCTGCCAGGCCTTATCGTTGATGATCAATCATGTGGCTTGGCTGTACAGCTGCACACAGCTGCAACTACCAGTTTCCGGGTAGCGTCTCAAGCAATTTGGGAGCGACTTGCTGCCTCCCTACCTGTCCCAGGCTTCTTTGTTTTTGGAAATGTGGTCTCCATCCTTGCAGTTTGTAGGATGTCCTATACAACATATGTCAACTGGATCGAGTTACTTGGGAACGGACATGGACATGGGGACATGTTGCGAACCGGTGAAGGTACCCCAAGTCCCCCTGCCCATTTGGGGAACAGCTCTACGACATCCCACCAACCACAAGTCGAGATGCTGAGGTCAAGAGGGTCCGATGGTGGAGCCTCAAAGCTCCTGGCACGCCGTGTCGCCAGCGCGTGCTTGGCCTTCTCCGCCGAACCGCTTGACGCACGAGGAGCATGTGCGGAAGCTCGAGGAGCATCTCGACTGATATAAGCAAAAGGATTTACTTGGCGATCTTGTGCCCTCCATGGATCATTAACACAACGGTGTTTTCAAAGCCCACTGCCCAGGTATCTCAGAGACCTTCAGGATATGCCTGAACTGTTGTCAGCGACCATCGAGTTGAAACAAGAGGTCTCTAACATCATGGCGCAGCTCCGAGAGCGATCTCTATGAAAAAGTCATGAGATCACATATGAAGTCGTGCGATGCAAAATGCATCAGAACATTTTTTGGGAGTTTGCACTTGGGAAAGGACTGCAAGCTCTACATGAGGTGGTTCACCTTTGACTAACTGGTCTCTTGTTCGTTCGACCGCGTCGATTTTTTCCGACCTGACCGCATTTTGACGCTCTGAAAAGACTCAGGCGTGCCAGTGGTCATGTCCGATGTTGCTTTAAAGAATGTTTAGGCCAGAAGGAAGCATTCGAGTCGACAGAAGTTCTGACGCATTGCCTTCAACATCCTTCAACATATTTTGTTTGTTTTTTTAACTTACTTGTGTTTCTACATCAAGCTCGAATGCGGTCATCAGGACGCAGCAAATTGTATTCTGCGGATCTGTTTCCTTTTGCTTTTTTCAGTTTGTTCCAATCGGTCATGGTGACCGGTGACAAGGTTCCACATCGGGGACGTGGATATCCTCCTTTTTCACGCCTAGCCTCGTTTGGCTGAGGAAAGCTTTGATGGCTGTTGAGATCAAGTGCTGTTTTCAGGCAATCGCTGTGGTTTTGAGAAATATTGCTCTTGTGGAGAGCGAATACACTCGCCAGACATGCCATCATGAATGTAAAAGAGGAGCTTTTAAGTTTTACCGTCTCTTGGCTTGTGCAGCAACAAGGGGCTGCCTACAAGTGATCATCTAAATATATCTAAATCCATGCAAGTTTTTCGGCATACTGGTGAAACGGACGAACTGCGCCAGGAAAAGATTTGTCGACTTTTTTGATGTGCTTTGAGAGTATGCGTATTCTTGCAGGAATATGCGAGTGGGTGCACCTCTCATCGCCTCTCAAAATTGGGTTTGGAGGGCCGCCTCATGTAAGCAAACAAGACAACAGGGGAAGGGACTGTCAGATGAGTCGAGGTTGTTTAAGTCAAGACGTGGGCCCATAAACAGGGGTGACAATCCTGAAACTTGCCAAGCCACCTGTAAACAGGAAATTTCTGAGTTGGTTGCACTTGTAGAGACTTCAAGCAGGGACCAAGAAGTGCATGTTCATATGCTCAAAGCCAGAGAAAGGGGAAGGAAACATACCGCTGCTAAATGAAAATGTGAGAACTTGTTCTGGTACGCTTGCGCAGGTCCCCATCTTCTTTGGCCCACCCATATGGTAGGTCACTGTATGAGCAACTTGGTGTTCCAGCTATATAGTTCGTGCAAGATTTGCAAGTTAAGGATGTCAAGATGTATTATTTGCAGCCCTTAACCTGACTCAGCCTTGGTATGATGTTGATTCATTTGCAACACCGGAGATGACAACCCTTTTGGCCATTTTGTGGTGTTTGACTCATACAGTACCTGGCCCACTCTGAGCCGAGCCACAGGTGCTTCTTTCATGTGTGTGTGTGCGTCACAGGTTTTATGACTTGGAACACGTAAGTGTGCAAAGTGGTTTGGAGACCGGCTGCGTTTCAACATGCAAGATTCATCACCCCTTTTTGGCACCCCTTTGTTTTGCAGGGTGATGCGTTGAACCATGATAATAAGCGGTTAGGGTTCAATCACTGGTTCAATCCTAGTTCTAAATCTCTAGGGAGAAAGTGTATATATTTGTGTATGTATATATATATATATGTATGCATGTAACCTGGAACCTATAATCCATAATGTTGAGGAGAAATGACTACATCTACTCATCAAGCCATCACGCATTGAGCTTTAAGCCAGCGCATTCCCTTGAAGCAGTGCGAAAACTCGCCCGACATCTCGGCTGCAAGGTGTTGGGCCAACTTCTGGATGACACGGAGGAGGAGCTCTCAATGCAGTTTTCACAGCATGTACTTGAAGGTACGTTTGCTGAAGGTTTGAACGTTTGTATGTTCGATTGCGGCCATTTAGGGCCCTTGAGTCACCGTGGTCACGACCCTACTCGTTCGACTTGTGTAGAAAAGGCAGGTTCGACTTTGTGTGCGAGTTCCTGTTCAATCAGATTGGTAGCGGAGCCCAATACGTTCCAGGTTGACGGTTTCTTCGGTGATCTTTTTGATTGAGGAGACATTTGTTTTCCTTTGGACGGTTGAGGATAAGCTCCCATGTCCGGAATGGAGAGAAGTCCACGAAGGACACCAGTCCGACGAGCGCGGACCTCGGCACCTGCGAATCCCGCAGCTGTCAGTACTACAGGAGGAGGACTGTTTGCGAATGTCGAGAGTGATGATCCTGGCCTTGCGCTTCCAGGTATGCCCTTTTCTTCGGCTTCGCAGAGCAAGGGACTAGATTCAGGTCTGGCGAAAGCATGTCCTTCCACCGACAACCTGAACCAGAAGAGCTATAGAAGTTTCAGGCGCAGATTGGAGTTGTTTCAGAGGCAGTGTAGCCGACGAGGACGTGAAGTTGCTGTCGAGGGAACGTTCCTCATCATAAGCCGCTTGAAAGATGTCGCATGGGATGCAACAGAGCACCTCAGCTTCGATGAAGTCGAGAGAGCCTCAGATCCTTTCAAGTTGTTGTTCAAGCTGCTGGACGAGTTGTACCAGTATGAGGATTTGATTGAAGTGCCCTCCCGTTGCGATGAGTTCTTCTCTGAGTTCTACCGCCTGAAGGGAGAAGAAATGCAGGCGTACATCATTCGCCATCGCAACCTCCTCAAGCGCATGAGTGAGGTAAGTGTGGATATCCCACCGTTGTTGTCGGGGTGGCATTTGTTGACAAGAGCTGGAGTTCCAAGATGGACACACGTTCAGATCAAGTCCATGTGCGCTGGCGACCTTGAGTATGAGAAGGTGGCCAAAGCATTGGTCAGAATGTTTGGAGGAGATCATAAACCCAATGCTCGTGATCTTGGACGTGTCCAGCAGGCCAACAACAAGGATGACGTCCTCTACGAAGAAGATGATTCAGAGTGGTATGAGGAGTTTGAAGAAGGCTATGCCGTTGAAGAGTGGTATGACGACGAAGCCTTCGAGTATGGTGAGATTGAGGATGACGAGATTCCTGAAGAGCTTGAAGAAGCAATGGAGTTGACAGATGAGGCTTACGTGTCCTACATCGAGAGCCGCAAGAGGATGAAGGAATTGGCCTTGTCGAGAGGATTCTATCCGGTGGTTGCTTTGGGTCCCGACTTTGAGAAGGGAAGTCAGCGAAGTCCCAAAGGAGAAGGAAAGAGTGGCAAGGGCAAAGGCAAGTCTGGTTTTGGAAAGGGGAAAGGAAAAGGAAAGAGCAAAGGTGGAGGAAACTTCATGAGGCGAACCCCTTTCAACAGAAGACCGATGTCAGGTTTGCGAAAGAGCCCTATGTCATCTACCAGCACTACCGGCGGCTCAGAGAGGTCTACCTTGACTGGATCCACGGCTCAGCATGGACCTCGGTTCAAGCGATATAGAAGCCAAGGTCAAGGTGTGAAAGAAGTGCCTGAAGAAGTGACGATGGTCGAAGACATTGAGGAGATTGGCCATGAAGAAGAGTTGAAGTTGGATGAACATTGTTTCTTCGCGGTCATGGAGAAGGGGAAGGTGATTGTTGACAGTGGAGCCACTCGAACGATTGTTGGTGAGGAGAACTGGCACCGCTGGTTGGAACACTATGGAAGTGAACAAACGCAGCCAGTCACATCTCGTGCCATTGTTCGCCAGTTCAAGTTCGGAGGCGGTGAAGTCTTGCAGTCCCAGTACGAGGTGACCTTTACTGCAGTTGTTCACGGACAATGTCTTCCAGTGACCGCTTCCGTGGTTCCTGGTGCAACACCCTTCTTGCTTGCAAGACCCACTTTGGAGGAGTGGGGAGTCGTTCATGACTACAAGAGAGGACTCATGAAGATCGGAGAGTCTGAATGGTTTCGACCTGAGAGAAACGAAAGGGGACACTTCATCCTGGACCTGATGATGTACCAGAATGCCAACATGTCTGAGGAGACCTTCATTCAGACAGAGGAAGTTGAGGATGATGGAAACGAGGCAGATGATCCCAGCAACGTGTGGTTCATTGAGCCATTGATGGAGACGGAGGCCACTGTCTTCATGAACGAAGAGGTTTCGAAAGTTCCAGAAGATGAAAGCCTGATGGCGGACCAGGTGGCCGAGGATGTGATCACAAGGTTGAAAGAGAAGAGAATTTTGAAGTTCTTTGAGGTCTACGTGGACCAAGGCAACCTTGCAGTCTACCTGGCCAAGAACTACAGCGACGTAGAGGTTTCCACTTTTTCATTGCCAGAATGGGATTTCGAGCACAAAGAAGTCCGTGAAGAGTTTGTTGAGCTCTTGCGAGAAGTGAGCCCAGAGTTTGTTTGGCTGGCACCCCCGTGCAGAAAATGGTCAGCCATGCAGAGATTGACAAGAAGAAATGCTGAGCAGCTCACCGAATGGAAGAAAGAACTCAAACAAGAGGAAGATTCACATTTGGCATTGGTGGCAGACTCAGCAACAGTGAGCAAAGAGAATGAGAATGACTACGCTATGGAGCACCCACATGGAGCTGGTTCTTGGAATACACCAACTCTGCAAAGCATGCGTGGTTATTTTGAAGCAGTTTGCAACCGTTGCAGGACTGGCCTCTACTTCAAGGACAAGGATGACGATGGACCAGTTCGAAAACAGACGAGAATCAGAACAAGTTCTTTGAAAGTGGCTGAAGCTCTAGATTTGGCATGTCATTGCACTCGTCCTCACATTCAGATGGAGGGGCGAACAAAAGGGCTTCAGAAGATGCAGAACTATGAAGATGGTTTTGTTCGACGAGCTGGAAAAGCAATCTATGAGAGCATGTGTGAAGCATGGAGGAAGAAAGAGATCGCCAAGATCATTGCTGGTGAGATCATGGTTGCTGAAGAAACGAAAGAAGAGAAGGAAATTATGGAAGTGACAAAAGAAGAAGTAAGTGATTCCAAGACCCATTCAAAGAAAGCTTTGTCAGTGGTGGAGAAGTTACATCGACAACTCGGTCATCCTGGCCGTGATCGCCTTGTGCATGCAGTGAAGCAAGCTGGTTTGTGTGATGAAGTGATTCAATGTGCCAAATC